TTCTTCCGATATTTCTGTTTCCTTATCATCAAATTCTTCATCCTCCTCCGCTACTGAAGTTTCTTCGTTGCTATTATTCGTTACGACCAAATCTTCCGTGGCATCTTCAGTACCCCAAATGCCTTCTGTATCATCTTTAGACTGCTCAAGAACGTCTTCACTAATCGCTGTTACCTTGCCATCGGTTTCGCACTCATCTTCGACCTCAGCTTCTGGTTCCGAAGCCTCAGCCCCCGAACTGGGTTCAGTTTCGTGATCATGCTCGCGTTCTTGACGCTCGATAAACAATCGATTTATTACAATTTTTCGTAAGTGTTGGGCTGGAACATCGATTAAAAAGGCTACTGCCACCCCGCTTCCGATAATTACAGCGATCTCGTTGAAGTTTACCTAAGAGACGATATTATAGTATCATTAGAAGACATATCAGTTTGTACAAATAAATTCAGAGTAAGTTTTTACCAAATCAGTTAGATGATATTTTCGTGGTTCGGTGACACTAGCAGTGTTATAGAGCACTACGACATAAGTCATCAATTGTATGGGGAACGTTATGCGTGAAAGGAACAATACTGGTCGCATTGTGGTGATAAACCGCAGCACAGAGTTTTCATCCCTTGGGAACATGAAGATACACCACGCCAGCCCTAAGCCAAGTATAAGCGGACACCAAGCAGCATAGGAGGCCGCATCTCCAGCTGTGTAAACAAAATCACTACGCATGCCCACCGCTGGGGCCCAGAAGCACCAAACCAAACTCAAAATAGCGCACAGCCACCCTACAGGCTTAAGCTCACTGGCGATTTCTAGAACTCCGGATTGGGAACGGTGAAGTAGACCGGTGCCTAGGCCAAGTAGATAGGCCGTTCCACGACTTATTGGTGAAGAGTATAACATATTAGCCGTGCGATAGAACTTGCTTATGCTTAGGGAGAAAAACCAAGAATGAACTATAGAAAGCGCATAAATTGAAATCAAAGGCGAACCCACTTCATTCCATGGAACAAAGTCACGGACAAGTATTCGTTTTGCGTGCGAGAATAACGTGCCGCCACGGACATGACGTGGAGGGCGCCGTAAATGAAGAAGGCTGCATCCGCATCGGTGTGATAGAGCCACACAATCAAAGGGCCCAGTATATAGAGTTGCACTTCAAGAGCTAATTGTATGGTCATGGGTGAACACTAAAGGAGTATAATTATTGGTCAGATTACAAAAGCTGATTAACTATCAATTTGCCCACTGACCGTATCCTCAAAGTCGATTGCATTTTGCACACTGAAAAGGTTGCGCCACATTTGCTGTTCACACAAGCGCGTGTTTTGTCCCACCAAGTTCGTCCAAAGCGGACCGGCGCCAAGCCGTGGAAGAACGTATGTTTGGAAGAGTAGCGCCACATACAAAGTTGGCAAATAGCTGAAAGGTTACAAACAATTATTTTCATGGGATAGTGGTGGCCTCGGTTAATTATGTACCGTGATATTTTCAAAGCCATACGCTTCAATAATTGAATATGCGTTTTTTGCTCGATCTCTTCGGCCAATTGGTAAGCCACCAAAAATCCGCTTATCATTAAGAGCACATCCATATAGATCAGTGGCGATCGAAACAGTACGCTCTGTGGTTGGTCCAAAGCCCGAACTAGTTTATCACGATTGATGATGGGGAGATGACCAATCATTATGTACTTGAAGCAGACATAAAGAGCGAATGAAGCACCCAATTTCAGTACATTGAAGATTGGGAATTGCGTTTCGAAGTGATCACTGCCGAGCAGTTCAATCAGAGTACGTTGAGGTGAGAAAGCGTTGAGGATGTCGAACAATAAGTTCATCAGTGACTGTAGCACTGAAAATGCGAATTCTTTTTTGTCGACGCAATTTGTTGGTATATAAGTATGAAACTTACAGCTAACGGGCAATTCTTCTTCCTTGCCAATTTCAGAGTTTCGAACGTCTTCTGTCTCCTCGGTCTTAGTACCTGCTTCTGTCTCATTCTCGCTTCTTTCGGTTTCGCCATTTGATTCGCTTTTGGAAATTTGCATTTTTTTAACAATCCAGTCTTTGATATTGCGGCAGTATTTATAAAGAAGTGAACCCATGCACAATGTTATGAGCCCACAAATGCAGGAACTAGATGTAGATACATAGATTTTACTTGAATTACACACATATAAGAACTGGACTTACATTGTTGTGGTGAATTTCGGATCCTTTTTAATTAGTTTCAAAAACTTTACGTTGGATCGCGTGTAGCAGTCATCATCGTCGACCTCCACGTGAAATTCCAAACCTGATGTATTGTAGGCTCTCAGGTTCGACTCAAGCATTTTTTGTACAACCTCGCCATTGCAAAGGTGCGGTATGCACACACCCCAATTAGCGATGCTGTAGCGTGGAACAAAATGACTGGGCTGTTAGGAGAGATACGTCTAAGTGAGTAAATTGCTAACATCAGGTTGGGTTAATGGGGTTTGAGGGGAAATACTTGTTTCTTCACGGCTCGTTTACAGTACAGCAGGTCAAGTACATTTTTAACCAATAACAGTTACTTCTAACGGAACTCCCCTAATTCGCTAGATCAAGTTAATTCAAGCTATTATTAAGTCAACTTACGTTTCCGAAATGACTGCCCCAGAGTCCTCGTCCTTGTGCGTAATGTAAGGGTACCTTTAGCTCTTTGGATGTGGTCTGAATTTCAATATGGGCGAGGCAGTATTTACCTCGAATGCGCACCGGAATTTCCGGTGTTACCTTAACCACAGTCTTCACTTGCATGCACTGATCAAAGTCTCCGAATTGATTGATGTTGCCGCGCAACACTCCCGATGTGATCTTGCCAGTAGCATCCAACACTTCAAAAAGGGAAGATGTAATTTAAGAGGATTTTTTTTTAACTGAAATACAAGTGAACGCACTCTGTAAAGTCCATAATTTATTGCCACGCAACTGTCTACCAAAAATTTGCAATTGCTGTCTACATTCGGTGTTGTCCACTTCCGTTGGATTCACGACAAAACTTGGTAGTGTATGCAACACAGTTTCGAAGTTTTCCTGAGACATTACGGGCGTTGCCTCATCTGCGTCACCATCTTCTGCGGAAGCAGCTTTTTGCTTGCGCTCGCGACCACCTCTAGGCATTCGTATAGGTTTTTCAGGTTTGCCAATGTTAAAGAGTGTATTGAATGGCCAACGATTCAGATAGGAAAACCACGTTTCCGCATCGGCTTCTTCATTTTCTACAATTTCCTGGACTCCAACATTTTCATTTCTCTCACTAAACCATTTTAGCCAATCGATAACGCTGTTTGACGGCTCTTTTTTTTCAGCAGATTTGTCTTCCTCACTTGTTAGTTTTTCATTGCTGCTTGCCCCGCCACCAAAGAGAGAACCGAATAATGAGCCGAAAAAAGATTGTGACTCCTCACTTTTATCACCATGTGTAGAGTCTCTCCGCTTTTCACTAGATGAGCGCTTTTCACCATTCGATTTTGTGGAGGAGGAAGTGACACTTCTCCGCTCCTTATGAGCTGTTCGCGCCCGTTTGAATGTCAATTCTTCTGATTCAGTTGTTTGTTCGCTAGCATCCATCGGTTGGCTTGTGTCATCGCCATCGTCTTCGTTTCTTTTCTTATTTTCGTCAACAACATCGTCGTTTTTGTCCGCGTCGACACCAGCGCTGGCCTCGTCGTCTTGCCCTTCCTCATCATTGAAGTATACACGTTCAATTTTGTGAAATTTGAATTTCTTCTCAAATGGACGCTTTCCTATCGGTTTCATAGCATCCCCAGTCACTCCAACACTTCCACTCTTGGCAGCGCCTCCAAACTCAAATAATTCATACGAGGTATGTGGAAACACAAAGATCACCAAAAGTGCACAAATCCATAATTTGTTTATACTAAATGACGCGGTGATGAATGGTGTTTGAAATGGACCGTGTCCATGCCCCATACGATCAGACATGCTTGGTATACTTAAACGAGACATCACGACAGTGTGGCGTTAACACAAACATTTGCCAAATCGCAGATGGCAACCAATATGATATAACGGCCGTTTCGTACACCTAAACCAATATTCGTATAGCCTAAATTGCGTATGTATGTACGTATCTATGTATGTACATATAAGCTGATATGCGAGAATATGGAGTTAAAATTTTCGATCTCACTTCGCAGCACCAATGATGATTTTTCCGTTAACTTTACTAATTCATACGTCTATACATATGTGGCTATAACTTGAAATCTTAGAAAAACACATATTATAGCCCAGGAAAATGCAATTTATTTATGTAGTTCGTTCGCTGGCAAAATTTTCTAAAAATATGCACATCAGTGGCGTTGTGCATACTTTCACTAGCTGCTATGTGGTGCTCGTATCGAAATCTCGGAAGAGACTGATCTCCGTTGTGTGCAGAAAGTAGAAGACGCCTATTGTGTTTCTTCAGCTTCCATGTAAATTGCGACCTCCGTGGCATTAACTCAAATTTGTGTGTTCTCATAATTTGTTTACAATCGAATTGAGTGTAAGATATGCACGTGCTGGCCAAGAGAGAATTTCATATGTCTGCTTTCATGCCTAAAGAGTATTTGCAAATATTTTTCATCAAAACAAATAAATAATGCAATTTTTCAAGAGATATAAAGTAATTATTACAAGTCATTACAAAGTGTTTGACAAAGTTAGATAAAGAATTGAATCGTTTCATACAATACAGGTAAAATGGGCAAGTTTCAATTATAAAAAACTTTTTAACGAATAACATTTCCGTTTCATTCAACTTTAAAAGAAGCCAATCAATAATAAACCAAAATGGATCATAACATTAACACAAAACTACATATATACATAAATAGGTAATAGTATCCAATAATGTAAAAGTAAGAGAGCAAAAAAAAATAAAAATAAACATACAGTTAGAAATAGCGATAAAATGCAAAATAAATACACCGAAACTCAATTGACTCCAAAAGTCGTCCGAGTTGGTTCTTTAGTTATTGGCGCTAAAACGCTAGGGCATAAGTAGATGGCATATAAGCACTGCCCGATGTATGGTTATATTGTCGTTGATCTTGAGCTCCTTGCTCATTCACATGCATTATTTGCGTCGATGTGGGTTGTTTAATTGATTTGGCGTAAGAAAATCCAGTGATCCATAGCGGACGGGTTTTGAAACGCTGCGCTGGATGAAAGTTGTGCACATTACCAAATTCCACATGATTAAGCGCTTGGTGCACCAAATAACGTGATTGTGTGACAGCAATGGGCAAGAGTTTAAGTGAGACGAATCGTAATCTTTCATAGCCATTATCGAATGAAGAGACCGGATAGGCAATATAAGGACGGCTAGGCAACACTGTATTTGTGCCGGTCATTAAATAGCATAGGGCTAGTACTATCTGTGTATCGTTAAGATTGTGTGATAGCGGTGGTTTATTTCGGTATTTGGGAAAAATTGTGCCGAAAATTCGATAGCCAGAAACTACCAAATTTGGTAAATATGTTGCGGTGGTGGGCAACTGAAAACTTTCATGATAGGCCTGAAGTAGTATATCCTCTTCAACGGCAGCCAAATTCGCAATGGCTAAGCTCATGTCGATAATCTCATTTAAATCGAAATGTATGTTTTTGGGTACTTGATGAGATGCGATGAAACTCACTGATTGGCAGTCATGTGTCACTATTCCCACTAAAAATAAATAATCTTAGTATTTTAATTATTCAAAGTAACAGTGCGGTGATAACTTACAAAGATGTGCATTGTCGCTTTCTACAAAGAAAAAGTAGTTGTAGTCTGGAAAAGTTCCAATCGTTTCCAATAAAACACAGACCACTTCACATATACGTGAATGTATGTCAACAAGTTCTTGGCACTGGAGTACGCAGAAAATAGACCGTGCTGTACCAACTGCGCTGCGCATCATGACCGCGCCGTACTGAAGATCTTCACGTTCGAAGTAGGTGCCGAAAATTATGACTGGTATTTGCCAGCAGTTGGCTATGCATTTAAGACGAAGCATGGCATCAAAATCTGTCCTACACATACGATGCAAAGATTGCCTATTTGGAAGGAGCATTTTTAAAGTTACAAAAAAAAAAATTATAAAAAGTTCACTCACTTTTCCGATGGTTTAGCCCATTCAATACTGAGACATTGGCCTTGTAATATTTTTCCCTGTAACTCTTGTAAACACTTTTCAGCCGCCTCATGAGTTGTGAAATCACAAAATGCGATTGTACGAACTTTCGTAACTTTTCTAATCTCCTGGCGTGGAACGAACTTCACGAGCATATCCATAATGTCACGTTTATTAATGCAAAGATCCACATTTCGAACAAAAAGTGTTTTATTCTGCGCGAAAAATTAAACACATAAAACGGGTTTGTATAAAATTTCAATCTTATTATCAATTTTTAAACTTACTGATTTCGACGTATCAGTATCGCGTTCAGTGTTTGCCCAAACAACTTTTAAGTCACGGTTCCACATTCGAATCACACCTGGTGTTGTGCTTTTCTTCGCTTCTAAAGCTTCTAAGTGTGATGGAAAGTGAATGACAGCATAACCACGGTTCTTACTATCGTTGTTTGTGCCTCTCATTTCTGGATTACATAATTCATCGTTTTTGCCGTGACCCCCAATCTTTTTATCTGAATTGCCTACTTGGATATATAATCGTTCCATAGTTGGAAACACGGTTCGTAACTTTTCTTCGATCTCTATTTCATCCAAATATTTTGGTATATTGCTCACAAATAAACAGCACTTTTCATACGATTGTAAAATCTCTAACTTACGATGAGGTGCAACATAAAAATGATTCAGCACCTCCATAGCACAATTTGCTTCCTCCTCAGTGGTGTACCTGACGTATGCGTAACCACGATTTGCCTAAAAGATATGTATATATGTAACATGCTTACTGCACCGAATCATATATACGAGTATTGATTTTAAATTTTCTACCTGATTAAAATCCATTGGCAATCGCATTTCATATATTTGTCCAAAACGTAAAAATGGTTGTATAAGTCTCTGTTCATCTATATTTCGTGGAATTCGACGTACGAAAAGTTCGCATGCACTTGACGGGGGAGAACCTTGCCAATCCTCTGGTGGACCAAGCACTTTACGCCCGTTCATTTGCATGAGGGTAAATGGTTGATCCTGTGGTTGGTAATTGGCGTCATTACACAAAGGTGGACTATAAATCGGTGTTGAAGGTGTATAATTACTTCCACCAAAATTATCAGAAGCGACCGGAGTTGGTAACGGGTATATAATATGTAGTGGAGTACACATTGTTTCACTTCTCTCAAAATAGGACCCGTTGGCTACTGTGTATTCCATTTCAGTAAATTGCTTAACTTCGCAACTATTCACGAATTATTATGTGCGTATTTGAATTTAGTTTCAATGAAAATATTGATCATTCTAAACGCGATCTACGAATATCGCATACAAATATCCGTTGAGACAATGCTGCCAATTCTACAGATTATTTGAATTTAATGACACTTTCCCGTTACTTCGTAATGTTGCCAGTGAATGTACATTTAGTGGAATTCAAATAAAATCTTGACGGTAACTGTATTATTTGTTTATTACGGTAACGGAGACTGAGAATTTAATCTTGGTAATTTCCACTTACATATGTATATAATTATTTGAAATACTAATCACTTGCCAAATAAAAAACTTGGTAAATATATTTTGTAGTTAATGAAGTGAAGTATAAAAATCTGATATACTCGTTTGTCAAATGAACTGAACGTTTTAAACTTTTGTTATTTGTAAGCACAGAAACTTGACCACTCTGTGTGCAATTAGTGCCAGAACTACTGGGTACTATTTCGGATGGAACGCAATAACGTTAAAAATCGTTTTAGTTGGAAAGTGAATTCGGCGTGTTTAACTGTTCAAGATAATCTTTTTTATTTGTAGACAATAAAATCTTAATAAAAAGACGGAAATGTCTGATTTGTCATCATCGTGGTTGGGAGGAGGCTCCTCTTCGTCACCATCTGAATCTTCCTCTTCATTTTCAATCAATCATAATGATATTACGTGGGAAACACTATTCATGAAAGCCGCTGCTATGCCTGCTATTTTGGAGAATGGACGCAAAGTGTTTGGACCGCCAGTAGAATATATAGGTGAACGTCCTTCCTACATATGTGAATTGTATGTATCGAATTTACCCAAGTTTCTGGATGAGGTACGTTTTCTGACCTGGCTGCATCGCTGTGGTGTTGTTTATGAAATGCGAGTGATGATGCAGTCTTTTAGTATGACGCGCGGTTATGCATTTGTACGATACACACAAGAAAATGAAGCTTTAGTGGCGTACGAATTATTAAAATGTTTGTTTTTGGGCGGTGAACGTGTGTGGGTTTACCGATCGCAAGGAAAAAATCGCCTCTTTGTGAGTAATATTCCAAAGCAATTACCGATGTCGTCTCTAGAGGAAGGTTTCAAGAAAACATTCCGCGACATAGAGCGTTGTATAGCGTTTCCAGCTACAGAATCTTGTTCGTTGAGAGGCGATTTGAATCGTGGCTTTGCTTTTATCGAATTTTATGATCACGAATCGGCTATGGAGGCTAAGAAAAAAACGACACCTGGACACATGCGCATGTGGGGTAATGACTTAAAAGTACAATGGGCAAAGCCGAAATTATTGCAAGCCCACTTCAAAAGCAACAATGAACAAAAGGTTAGAACTAATTGAAAATAATATTTCATGGTTTTTTTCTAATTCGTACAATTTAGGAAAAACGTTCAATGGGTGAAGCGTCAAGGTATGAACTATTATTTTTTTCTTATATATTTGAATGGGTATAAGTATTTATTTTATTGTTTTAAAGCAAACCACAAGACTACTGTGCTAAATTACGTTTGTTCTGTTTGGCTAATAATTGGTGCATACCGGTGGTAATTTATGGGAATTGTTTCTACCAAAATGGATTTCAATATGGTGGAGTACGCAAACATTTTAAGTTATATTTCTATTGTACACAAATATCGGAATATTTATTAATACATATATTTTAATATAATGTTAAGCAGTTTTGACAATTTGAACTTATTTTTTGCAATTTTAGCTATTTTATTGCATCATTAAGAAATTGAATTTTGTTGTGGTAAATTACGAAATTATTGAGTACTGATAATCTCTGATTTGTACTGGAGAACAAATGAAATAACAACTAAAGCTAATTTAACGTATTGTATTGGTTAATAGATATTATTGAAGGATCCCACGAGTGGACAGTTAAGTGGCATCTTAATGGAGGTGGCCGTAGGTCGTGATATGCAAGATGTGCATGTAGCAATGTGCGAAGTTGCTGTGCAAGTAATTGAGCGCAGTAACGGGTTTCCAAGACACCACTACATGGTACGGGTGTTGAATGGATTTCGTGCCGAATTATGTAAGATTCATACATATTAAGCATTGTAGTATTTATACAAAATTTGTGTTGCAGTGTTTGTTTGCGGAAATTGTTCAGATATTACGTCATTGGTAAGCCATTGTGACAGGAATATATTTAATTTCAATTCTATGGTAGAGTTGGCAGTCGCTTTGGAAGTCTTAGGCCAATATTCAACGGAATTTATTTTGAGCACTTATAGAAGAAGTTTCCTAGTTTTACGAAACTGTTTTTCTCTTCAGCGCCAGTCACATATTGTCCAGTTTTACAGTATATATCCAAAGTTCCGTAATAACCCGCCGCTTAACTTGGCGTTGAACGACACTGAAGTAACACTTCTCGTTTCTGAAGTTATAATGGAACGCAATGTTAATGAGTTCTTAGTCATTGGAGAACAATTAAGAAATCCACCCTACATGATATTGAATTCACAACGGATCCGAAACGCTGATGGCTACAGATTACGTTACATCAGTTTGGAAAAATTAAAAAGTTGCGAGTTTTACCATCCGCAGCAGAGGATTAATGCCTCGCCAATTTGGATTACAGGTCATTCCTATCAAACATCTATTTTCAAATAGAGGTTTCTATTTGTTTTGAATAACGCAATTCATCGTTTGAAAACTTTTAAAGTGAAGTGAATTTTATTAAAATATTATTTTATATAAAATATTTCTTTTGTGAATTGAAAAAATTATGTATATTTATGATCATGTTTACCAAAGTGCATCTGAAGAGCTACCGTTGATTATGTTTCAACATCATAATTATGTACAATTTTCAATACGATATAATGTTAATAAACCTATGCTTTTTTAATAAACATTGAGTATTACTTACAGTCTTGAAATGTGCGTTGATAGAAAAACGAAATGTTTAATATTTCCAAAAAAGTTTCTTTAATTTTTTCTTTAATAAAAGTAGCTTCGGATTCATTGATTAAATATATTTATTTACAATATCTTGCATTTGACTTTTAAATATAGAATTTGCCGAAATTAATATTTCTTACATTAATTATTTACTATTTTTGTTTTTTGTTTAATAAAGACAAGTCTTTTAGGCTTAGTTATGTATGTATGCATGTTATTTGAGTTAAAAATGTCTTAAGTAAAGAAACAAAACATGTGTAGATGGTGTTTGTAAGCACTCCAAGGAGCTGCAACGCAGAGCCAATGCATTTGCAAATCCAAGAGAGCAACGGTGCTTTGCATTTAACCACTTTTGTGGAACCGAAAGGGAGAAGAGGCACGTGGAGTATTTTACAGAGTCTAATTTAAACATTTTATATACATTAAAAACACATCAACAATGAATTGCTGTTTCTCATTTTTTTTTACTGAAATGCGGCCTCCGACTTTCCTGTTTCGTTACATTTTAAGTACAGACTAACATTAAAATTGAATCAAATTCCTCAGTGCTTGCAGTGCGTTGTTTAGTTTTAACTTCAATTTTTGTTTTTTAGTTTTCAATTGTAAGTTTTCTAAATCTATTTATATATTTTCCTTTATAGTAAATTACAATTAAATTTAGTTTTGTACGAACAACAACTAATTGGTCGCTCGTCTCGTAGTTAGTAGTTCCTAATTCGTTTAACTTTTTTGWTAATACATATATGTATGTATGTATGTATTTATTTTGAAAAATTGTCTAAATTTCAGTTATCAGACTTGAGTTATTCTTTAGTAAAAAAGGGTGCTGAGACTTGAGAAATAGCAATGAATTTTATGTAATTGCATGTTCGGTTATTGGAGGACTATAACATACATGTAAGCTATTCCTTCAATTATCTTCCTTTGAAATGAACTGCACGGCGCTTGAAATTTGGAATGTGCTTCTTTTTCCAACAACATCAAACGGATGCCAAGTAGTAAATTTCAGTAACCGAGATCATCCGGTGTCAACCATTGAATTCACAGTTGTGAATTGTAATATTCATTCGAAATATACATACAGTATAAACATATGCCATATAATCGCTTACTAAGCAACTAAAGTATACCTGTTTTTTATTATATTAATATTTACAAAGAACCGTTACACTAAGCGTATTACTACTTAGAGCTAACTCCCAGTTGAATTTGTGATTTAATTTTGAATTAAACTGTATAATGACTGTGACATATTTTACATACACATATGTACATACACGCGTAGTTTGAAAACGACAAAGTAAACAATCATGTCTGTATTGGGTCTTACATAACTAGGAATCATAAGACTTTCGTTTCAAGTTTTTAATTATTATGGAATATGTCCTACGTGCAAATATTATATATAGTAGTGTTACTATTCGCTCGCAAGCAAATTTATTAAGTAAATTTAGCTCACATGTACAACTTGTGTTTTCATTACCCAATATGTTCCATAGTTAATTATACGCCTTCCTCCATTAATGTTAATATATATAATAACTATAATAAAGTAACTGTTTTATGTGTTTAAATTTAAACAGGCCAACCTACGGACATATTAGCATTTATATTTTCTTAAGGAGCTTAGTGGTTGCTGCTAATTCTACTTGTGTAGAACTAATTGTTAATTAATTATTGATTACATGCGTGTGATAAATTTTTTTAAAGAAAATCTAAGAAATTGTTTCTTAAGCTTGTATACCATTGCTTTCATATATTTCTCTTATGTTTTTATTATGAAATACTGTGCATTACTTTAAAGGATTTATTTCTAATTTACCTAACGCTAACTGTGCTTACTTTTTAACTGTTTATGTTTTTTTTTTATTATTTTGGAGAAAAGAAATCGTGCGCTGAACTTGTCGTCAATAACGAGTTAACTGTGTGTGTGTATGAGAGTGCACGTGTGTACAAGTGAAGATTGTCAGTTGCCTTTCAGTTGCATTTGATTTTATTTAGTATCTACTTTTGTTAATAAATAATCATTTCCTTTTTCAATTCACCAATTTTCTATATTTAATTGTAGTTTCATTTATTGCAATTTTTCCTCATTCAAATTTGAGGTTATGTGTTTTATTTGAATTAAATTCAACTATTTCTTACATTTTAATTTGTATTATTATTTTAGTCCCGCCTTCCTTCCTCATATTCATAAACAATTTATTGCAAATTTAAGGGGCTTGAATAAAAATGCAATAAATCGTATCTGCATTGATATTTAATGAAATCCAAAACATATATACCATTTTGCATGTTTACTTTGCTTTCTCCTTAACACATTTGTATGCCGCGGCTTTAGCCGCAGATTTTCGTGTTATTTTTAAAAGCTCTCTAATACTTTCATACACATTTATACAAAGATATGTATGTATGTAAGTGAATTTAAGGACGCATACAAATATGCTAAGAAAGCGCAATTTTAATTGTTTTATTTACGAAATAAATATTCAAATATTATGAATTAATTGACTTGATTACTATCTTATGCGACTACTAATATTATTGATGAACCTAAAATCTATTTATGTACTAAATTGTATTTGCAAAAGAATTATTAAACAAAGTTCGTGTCTGCAAGTACAAATATTTTCGAATTGAAAAAACTTTGGAGATGCCTCTAATGCTTTAGGAATATATAATTCAATTAATCTTTACTTTCTTTTAAATATTGAAAATTTTTAATATTGAAATAACACTAAGCTACGTGTATGTTGAATTTGATGATTATTCGGCTTATGTAACATTCTCATAAACAACAAAATATGTGTTATTTACTGAAAACATGTATGAAATATAATATATATAATATAATATACTAAATGTGTGTATGTATATGTCAAATGTACAAAAAAACATATTTAAAATCTAACACAAAAGCATATATTGGCCTAGCGAGTTGTGGCTTCTCTTCTTCTTCTTTGGCTGACTCCTAGGCATCCAGAAATGCTCCGAAACCTTCAATATACTCATTTTTCAAGTTTAACGAGAATGTTTAGTTAATGTATGGACGCAAATTCCATTCTTGATTTAATTTGCTTATCAAATGTAAATGCAGTAGAAATTACGAAAACGCGAATTTTACATCATTAGCTGTTTCTATAGCTTATTCAAAAGTGGTTGCACTTTGATATTACAGGTAAATACAGGTTGTTATTGGGTAGTGGTGGTGATCTCTGGAAATTGCGCTTTAGAGGTTATTAAAGTAGAAAGCGCGAAGCAAATTATTAGCTAAGGTTCCAGCAATACTTTGCATCGGTTCGGAAACTGTCAGCTCACAGACCGTGGCTGGAATGGACCCGGATTTTTGTTCGTTCAAGTATTGCCAACTCGAGAGCATTTCACAAAATTGTTTGGTTGATGATTTATATCACACCAGAACATATATATTATTAAAAAGCAACAAATATATAATCACAGCTTAGATTTTATTTATACATTCACAATAAACCTCTCGGCTAGACGAACTAAAAAATAATATTGAAACGAAAAAGGTAAACCAATGTAAAAAAGAAAGATAGTCTGTGTATTTTGTTTGTATTTATTTGAAATTCATGTTCATAAAAGCAATTGAAATTCGAAACTAAAGTGTGTTCTTACAGCATTTTGTCTTACAGTTCGTTGAGTATTACTTATTTACATGAATATTTACATGAGAATATCAATTTGAGTGTGTGTGTGTGTGTTTGAGTGTTTAAGGCTACAGTTTGAAATTTAATTGTTGACGTCTTAATTTTCTCTTAAATTAACTACAATTGTATTCGATTTTCTTCTAGAAATAATATGAGCTTTATAAGGAAATTTATTAAATTATGTATGTTTTATTTAATTATGTTTCTAAAATAAATGACTCTAACTTGGTCATTTCAATTTTATACCCATTTTTTTACTTTCGCAGAATATTCATAATAATTCTCATATCACAATTTGATTTCTTCTTCGCTCTATCGCGTTGTTTTTTTTTTTTAATTTTTTTGTTGCTTCAAGAAGCTTGCAACTAACGCAACCATGTGTTACGGATAACCTGTTTGCGGTTGATCATTTGCAATTTCAAATTTTTGCAGTTTTTATTCTAATTTTCTACGTTGCTGCAACTTGCTTTATGTCTTAAGTTGTTGCTAGTTCGAAATACACAATTTACAGTGGGTGTGATTCTTGAATTGCATTGCATTGCTACAATTCAAACAGGATTCAAATACTTGGTGTGATTTATGTGTGTGAGGCTTTGTCGGTAGACGGCACAGGTGTTAATTATGCAAAACTTATTTCAAATTAATTGAGTCACATTAATTATTAGGTGAATTCTTTGTAAATACGCGAGAAACTCGTAGAGAATGCCATAAATCTATCTAATAAATAATTAAAATGTATTATCGTAATATAAATGTGTTTTACTACAAGTTTTTAAGCATAAATTGTCCCGTCCAAGGGGGCTTTTGCATTGTTTTCTAATACTTATTTGTTAAACGTAAAGATATTGTTAAATACTTAATGTTAATTTTAGCTTAGTAAATTTCTCGGGTTTTGACTTAATCTTTATTGGTGCATACATTCAGGCGTCGCTTTAATTTCGCGACTGTCTCTGCATTACGAGAAAACGCTCTTGACCTTAATTTACGTAAATGGAATGTTTGGTTGCCACATTTGATGTTTTCATTTTAATTTTCGTTTGTTTTATTTATGTCAAAATTCATGTGCATCATTAGCAATCGTTTGCGTTTACGGGACATAAAAGAAATAGTTAAGTTAATTAGTAAAGTGTGAGTGTCTTAAATTATGCATAGTTTTAATAATGATTACTGCCGACACTGCGCAAGGAAATCGTTACATAAATACTTCAACACACAAATTGATGAATTCAAGCGTTATAAAACAATGAGAAATTCAAGGTTGTCTTATTTAATGCTAAATGAAATAAAATACGGAAATAAACTGGAACTTATATTCAATTTAAAACTCTTACGAAAACAAAAGGATTCACACAAACCAACTTAAAAAATGTATGTACATACATATGTATTTAATAACTCTAAGCCTATTATAAATTCAATCAGTGCAATGTTTTTGTTTTGATTTTTTTGATTGCAAACTACTAAATTGCCCGCGTTTGAATCGTGGCCAAGCGTTTGGGGAAGTTTACTATTTCTAAGTGGGTGTGTGTTCGGCTGTCTAGCGGCTTCATCTACTGCTTAGCTGCACATTACGGTTTTTGTTGCTGTGTTTTATTGCGCTTTTTTGGCAAAACTGTTGTTGTGTGTATCGCAGCACAAAGCGTCTTACTTTCCAAATATGTTGCAATTTCCGTAGAATTCTTGTTGAAGGCCACCATCATCGGTGTATTGCCGCATAGGTCGCGAGCTTGTAGATTGGCGCCGGCAGCCACGAGCATTACACAAATGTCGCGCCGATTGTGTTCGGCAGCAATGTGTAGTGCTGTTTGTCCCCTGTGGGAGAGAGAGGAGATATGTAGTATGACAATCGCAATATGCAATGAAAATAACTGTACTTTTTAAGTATTACAGTAAAAAAGCAATCGGAAATTCAAATTAAATTGCCCGACTAAATGATCCTCAAAAAAAATCGATTTCTCTAAGTTGTTAGCACTGTCTTTAATTACTATGCCAAATATGAGCCCGATGTGTCAATCAGTTTGTTTACAGCAGTTGCTTAAGACGGTACACCTTAGTAGTGCGTTGCGATTTTTACAATGGATAAAAACATCGCACAAAGAATTTGTCTCACATTTTGTATTTCTAATCAAGTTTTGTGTGCGAAATCGTTGCTATTGTTGGAAAAGGCTTGCGGTGATTTAGTAAGTAGTACAAAGCGTTCAAAGGCGGTCGACAGATCATCAACTGATGAAAATAAAAAAAAAAAAGGTGAAAGACATTGTGCTTTAAAATCCTCAGGCATGTTAAAGTAATGCCAAGTGAACCTAGATATCTATCATCGAATGATTCGGTGGATATTTTGAGATTTTGAGTATGAAACGCATTCTTGCTCGACTCGATAAAGCTGCATCTTTTTCAAAAAGAGTACCCTAAACAGGTCTCTATAGACACGTTTGATCGTGCGAATTGCGATCCTACATTCATGGAGAGCATTATAACTGCCGATGAGATATGAGTTTATGAGAACGCAATGAATACCATCGACCAACCATCGTATTCACCAGATTAAGATCCGCGTGATTTTTTCTTGCCCCCCAAATTCAAATTGTCGTTCCGTGGAACCGATTTTCAGTCCATCGAATAGATAAAACGAAATTCGCTAAGGGCCATCCCAAAAAGTGTTTTGAGGACTGGAGAAGTCGTTGGCATAACAATGTAAACGGTGGGGAATACTTTGAAGGCAACAAAATTAATATTGATGAATAATTAAATATTTTACGTTTCAGAATTTTCGGGTATTTTTTTGTTACAATATATACCAATAAATTGGAAAAAGTGGAAAAGTATAGGGGTAATTAAATTGAAATGAATGACTCTGTGATCTGTTTTCTTCATTGGACAAATGAGAGTGTGCCAGAAAATATCCTAGCCTGTTTCATTTTCCAAAAATTATGAGAGTAAGTTCGTATCCTCTTTGCTTTGCTTATAGCCATAAAAAAGTCCATTATAGTTGAGTTTATAGTTTGGTTATTTTGGCGTTTCTATTCATGTCATGTTGAACGTGCTTTCAAGAGCTGTTCATTTCGATTTCGCGATAAATTTAAAAGTTCATTATTGAGCTTTTCGTATATAATTTGTAATCTATGTATGTACATATATCTTGGCACCACTTACCTATCTTTGTCTGCCAAGTTGATTAGACGCCGCGAAGCACACGATATTATGTATCTGACGATGTCCTTGTGATTGTATTTGCAGGCGAAATGAAGTGCTGTCTGTCCATTCTTGTTTACTGATTGTAGTGAGTATCCTTGTTCATGTAGTGCACGTAACTGTAAGCAGCGAAAAAAAAAAACAAAAACAAGATTTGAAGTTGTGACTGAACACATTTTCACTCTCGCAGACATAAATTTAATAGAGAACTTAATTGAGATGACGTTGCTGTGCGGAAGAAGACATCACAAAATTTTGCTTAAATGGCGATCTGAGGAATGTATGTAAATATACATATGTAGTATGTACGTACTTATTATATATATGTATGTATGTACAATGCGTATTCTTTGAAGGCGCTTGTGTGGGTGTCGGGTGCAAGAGTCAAGGGTTGCGTTAGTCACAAATCACAGTTTATTAAGCAAATGCAAAAGTTAGAAGGCGAGTGCGTGAGGAGTAGCGATGTTTGAATACTTAAATGAGGTGAGTGAGAGTTAGAAATTCACATAAATACGAGTGCATTACTACCATATTCAGGTCGCCTTGGTGTGCCGCTAGTAGTACGGCATCGGAAGTTTGTTCCAGTATAGAGCTAAGTGTCGATTTAATATTTAGTTTTTGGGTATTTTTTTTTTTAGTTTCAGTTGCCAACACACACGCCGTTACATAACGTAAATTTGCATTTGTGCGTGGTGCAGTTTAATGCGGTTCGTGCAATGGTGTCGTTGGTTTTATATATCGCAATTATACGTGTTATTTTTGTTGTTGTATTCATTTATTAGGCATTACGAGTGCGTAACACGTATTGAGTAGTATGTTTTAGTCCAAAAATGAAAGAAAAAGAAAAAAATTAAATAAATAACTTTTTTAGTAGAAAAGCTCTGCGATTTCTAACTTTAATCTAGCAAAATTAATTAACTGCAAAAAATATTAAATTTACGCTGCGACTCAAAAATACCTGAATCCATAACCGAAGACATCTTCGTTGAAACTGAATAATCGATCTTTATTGCTGCATGCAAATTATTGAAGACAGTTTGAGATATTTTATTTTTATTTCAATATTTCAAATGATTTTATTTACGAAAATGCGATTAAATGTAATTAAGAGAGAAATAGTGAGAACAGAGGGAGTAGCGATTTGTATGCATTTTCGATGTTGATAATTTTGAGGTTAGGTAAACTTGGAAATGATTTTTCTGATTGAACTTTGTTTAGATCTTCAAATATTTGTTCGTTTTTAATACTTTTATTAGACGTCACTGTTGCGGCAAAAGTCGCAAAAACAAAATTATCATATCTTATTATTTTCTCATTCCATTTCAATTCGTAAAACAGCTAAGAACTGAGGAAATTTCTTCGTGACATTTCTTTAATACCGAAATACAGTCGCTAAATGGTTCGTTAGTCTCAGCTATGACGTTTTTTGGAAATTTGGGTTTTTTGCAAAATTCCTTGGTCTCAGTGTGAAATTTTCGAAAAATCGTTTCTCGGATAGATTACACTATAACAAACATTCTCTCTAGTTTTGAAATTGAAATTCAAACTATTGCGGTCGCTACAGCGTTTCTTGTTTGAAGGGAACAGAGTGGGCAACATAGCGAATGCGATCTTTAAGCTCGTTTTTTCTCAGAATGATGTTTTTCAAAACGGTTTCCACTCTCAAAGTTGACCAGAATAAAATTATGAAGGATAATTAACCGACATTTCGTTGCTTTTTAAATAATATGTGCCTGGTCTACGAAAAGGGAGCTAACGTGCGAAAACTAGTTTTCTGGGAAACAGCTGTTAAAAATCTCATCTTCCATCCGAATCAACTAAAAAGTGAAAATTGATTTTTTGGATTTTTTGACACCTAAGCCCCTTTCCGTAGGTCACATATAAAGCTTGTTAATTCATTTTTATTCTGAACTACGTTGATCGTAGCTGTATTTTCGTAAATAGTCGATGATTATTGGTCGCATTTAGTTGTCAATGATTAAAGGTAGCATTCTTTAACAATAATTATTACTAAAAATATATTTTTCTATGCAAGTCTAACATTTACAATATTTGTGATAATTAATAGATATAAAAAAAAGAATTGTTTTATACATTATCTACAATGAAGAAGTACTATACAAACTGAACAATTCCATGAGACCAAGTAGGTTTTTCTACGTTTTGTCAGTTGAGTCAGTCAAGATGCATCAATGAAGATTTTAAATATTTCAGAGAAGATCTTCGAACAATTCGGTGCACTTTAAAAGGATAGCACGGAATATATTCTTTAAAAACATGCACCTCTTTCTTTTTTAGAACTATTATTAATTTAAATGAACGGAACAATTAGTTAAGAAAGCGTTTGCAAGTGATTTGAATTTAGCAGTGCTGAAGTGTTATAGAAAAGTTTGCGTTTTATATTTTACATACGGCTGTACTAACGAATTCGAAGTTAATTAAAGAGAAAAGGTGTTTTGAATTTTCAAAGTTGTGAATTTACGAATGTGATTTGGAAATTTGCTTCGCAGCAAAGAAAATGTTTAGCATTTTAGGTGGCATGAATGAAATGTTATGTAGGAATATAGTTGCGCCCTTTACCTCTTCCATTTCATAACTTTGATGGGTTTTCCGATTTGCAAATCATCGTCTTTGTATATATATGCATTTCAAAATTAGTTTTTGAGACATAAAAATCGAAAATAACCTCAATTAATATCCGCTCATCCCACAAATGCGTAATCAAGTAAGAATGTTATATACAAACTAATAAAGGTATTATTACTACTATCACTAAAAATAAATACCAAAAATAATGGAAATGCTTTCCATACAGTCAACATACCATTTGTGATAATTATCTTTGTGCACAGTGTGTTAAGTTTGGGGATTTTTGGTTTGATTTTGAGTTTTTTTTTTAATTTTTATTTTTGGTTTAATTTTGTTGGTGGCGCGAAGATATCGGAATACGGTTTAGTCTTTGCTGTCAATATAAGTTGCGCTAGAAGTATGTTTGTATGTATGCACGTAGGAAATTTTGCACCTGCGTATGTGAGTATAAATGGCTGCTTCGCTTTATATTTGTATGCATAATGGTACTTACATTTATGCGGCAAGGACTAAGCTGTATTCTGAAATCCTTTCGTTTTTTTTTTTTTTTTTTTTTGTTTTTGAAGGTTAATAGTTCGCTAATTCTTGTTACACAATTACGGTTACATACAGTTAAGGAAATATTGCAAACATATCTTAAGCAAGCAAAGTCTAATGCAATGGAAGAATATATTTAAAAACAATAATAAATATGGCTCAGAAAAGAAAAAAAAATTACTTTGAGGAAAATATCCAAGTAACTTGAAGGGGAAGGGGACTAGCTCGATAATAAAATTGTTTTTCGTTGGACAAACTTGAAAATAATTTCCCAAATTGACTTTTGGAAGTTAACTGCTGGACCAGTTTATGGTCACTGATCTCATGAGGGTTGTAAATTCTTATTATGAGTGAAGACATTTCAAAACGCGCAATTTAATGGTCACTTGAAATGAAAATATAATGGCGGTCTATTTAAATTCGGTTGAAAAATGACCAGTTCAAATATTAATATTTCTCATTCAGCATCATATGGTCCACACTTCCCTTTTCAATAAAAACTTTTTTCCTGACTTTTCGAAAATTTAATTTATTGGTAGTCGAAAAAGTCTTTTTGTATTTCAATCAAACTTCAACTTATTTATATTTATAATGAACCAATATGCACCATTTTGGGTGACCACCTTTTTCCATTTCTCCGCTGACGACATTATTCCATTAGTATAAAAACTTTTCTGGTTTTGTGGTGAAAACTGCGACAAGTAATTTTCACAGGCTTCTCTTGAAGCCAACTTTACTCTATTAAGGGAGTTCTGTATTGACTGAAACAAATGGTAGTTCGATGGTGCCAGCTCAGGGCTATATGGTAGATGCATCAAAACTTTCCAAAACTGATACTGATTTTTTATAAAAAAAAAATGTCAAAATATACCGAATTTCTTCATTTTAGCTAATTTTGAACAGCTGTAATTTTTATTAACTTCCCCGAATTTAATTTTGGTTAAATGAAGCTTAAAATATAACTTTTTAAACACTAAATGGTGTGACATAATGTGATGGGTAGCACTGGAAATATACGACTGCAACGATATCTATTGACCAAATACGAAAAGACTTTTTCGACTACTCAATTTAGTTAGAGAGAACGTTTAATATTCGGTTCTTATTGGACTTAATTCATTGTTTAAAAAAGGAATATTGAGTAATTATTAATAATTCAATGACCAGCTATGAGGAGAAAAAAAAATAACTAAATCATAAGAAAAAAGAAGCATATAAAAAACTGAAAATTTACTTTCTGGTTTGAGCAAAGGACACACAGTTACATGCCACACTAAATTATTTAATTTATTATTTGTAACTATTTCGCTAAATCTAATATTGCTGAATATTTATATAACAACAAAATTTTCCACTTTTTGCACCTCTTACATGAATAAACTACCATTCACGCATTTTTAATTTGAATTTGGCTTCATTAAAGCTTACCCACCCAAAAAAAAAAAATTGCTATGTACATACATAATATGAGATTGCATCGCTTTATCGCTTTACAATTCGAAACGCTTCTTGCGGTAATAATAATTGCAAAACATGCGTTTACTTATGTAAGGTAATTGCGTACCGGTACTGCCGGAGCGGCCTTGCTGATCCATATTGCGGCGCTCATTTTGTGCGCCAATCCGCTGTGAATAGGCGGAGAAGGAGCGCTCCTGGTCGGGCGTCTGCGGCATGGTGGCGGCTTCGTGGTCCAGAATGTACAACTCGTCGATGGCGATATCACATATGTAGTGCAGATGCTCTTGAGCGCGATCGATGCGGAAGTAGTGCTCCGCGGTGCAGGCTGCAAGAGACAAAAACAACAACAAAAAGAGAGTAATTTCAATACTTTTGTAACTTGTTTGGAAATGCAGTTTTTTTTAGCAAACTAGCGTGCGAGTACTCACAATCGATGAAGCACCAATCCTGCGACACCTTCGGGTATGTGATCGATTCCTCGAATTTGGCGTTGAGCATGTTGCGCACCTGCTCCAAATCGCACTGCGACTCGATCTCCATTTTGCCCAATTTATTGGCCAATTTGCGCAACATGTCCTTGTCGTAGTGATATTGCTCGTATTGTTGCATCGTTATGCGCAAAATTGTTAAATGTAGTTTCTCCAATGGGTTCACTCTGACGTAAATGTATAGTAAAATGAGCTTAGTGAAACGCTTTGGCAATATTACTATTATTATTAATATTGTCATTGTTCATTTTTTTGATCGTTATGTTGAAAAAAAAAAAAAATAAAACAATGCTGTCTCTCAATCTAAGTTATGTTGTTGTCATGTAAATTGATTTGGAAGGTTCGCGGAAATTTTTCTCTCTCTCTCTTCTTGAAGCAATGTAAGAAAAATGGTCAAATAGTGGACCTATAACTCCCTCTCTGACAACACTGAAACTTGACATCATGAGTTGTGAAAAAATGGCTTCGGTTCTTATAGCATTGACAGACAATAATAACGGGGCATCTCGACAGAATAAAATCTATGTCTTACTAACTGTCAAATCTATTGCTATTGCCATTGCCAAATCTGTATGTGGGCATTCGTTATCTTGACATAATCATTTGTGCAAGGCGTAGGGTAGGTAGGTTCGAGCTGATTTAGCGCATGCTTTGAGCTCTTGAAATTGCGAAATACCGTCGGTTAGGTAGCTGATTTAGCTTTTATGAGGAAAATAAAAAAGGATCCTGGGAAAAATAAGATAATAACAAAGGAGAAAGATCCTTTTTTCCACAAACGTATTTCTGGAAAAAATAAGAATTCATATTTTTGGACTACTTTATAATAATTGTGACATAAATATACCAATTAAAATAATAAATTTAAAACGAGCAAAGATATTTTGATTTGTACAATACAATAGGCACGGCAATACAGTTAGTAAGACAAAGATTTTATGCTGTCGAGATGGGCCGTAAAACAAGAAGCTTCTGAAGACAAATTTGGATCTGATTAAGTGCGCAAATAATCCGGATTAACGCTGGCGTCTGTCAAGGCTATTAGTCTGTGAACTAGCTGCTAAGCCTTCGCCATCTGAAGCAAATTCGCGAAGCAGTTTGGAACAAACTTGTTTTGCTTTTGAAAGAGATGAGTTTCGCTACAGAGATGGCAAAACCGTCACTATATTATTTAGATAACTACTCTTAACTGAAATCATACTAATATTATAATTAAAGAGCAAGTTTTGAGCACAAAAATGATTCGAAAGAAAGACACATAAGTATATTTACATATTTCGAAAAACATTGTTTGTACTTACTGTACATCGCCGCGTCCGTGTTTGCGTTTGGCCAGCATAACCGCTTTGTTCAGCAAACTCATTTCGATAATTGATGGCTTCACGCGGCACGCCTCGCCGTCCACCTGCATCGGGATTGTCTTCTTGGTGACGATGCGTGCCGACCGACATTGGCAAATGCAGGTGCCGTGCAAGCCGGCCTGCAGCATGGGCAGCTGGTAAGTGGTCAGACCGACCACCTCTAACATGCCGTCATCGATGGCTGGCTTGGATTGGCCGAACGAATCGTTCCAGGGATGGGTACCGCCGCCATAGCTAAGGGTGTGGAATGTATGTTTGAAATATCGGTGAGGAAAGAGAGAAATAAAACACAACAAAGTTGTAATATAGGAAATATAGGAGTGCCGGAGCAGATATCTATCTAATGCACTCTTGCATGTCCAAGGGAGTACTTAAAAAAGGTATGCAATTTATAGCTAAGTGATTGCAATTGCCGCTGTCTGGCGTACGATAGACGACCGCCCGTCAGAAAGCTTATATCTAGAATTTATTTTTATTTGCAGCCATAACACTTTTAATGTGTCACTAATGGCATGCAATGTGCACCGTAAGTGTCAGAGTTATCTACTAGGAAAGTTCAGTGAACTCACCTGCCAATATTTAGGAAGAGCACTGCATGACAGCCGGCGTCGCGCAGTTTACCCGTGAAATCCTGGCCGTCGCACTCGAGCGTCACCCACTGCGAGAGATTCCGATACTGTCGCAAGATCAGATCTTTGCCACCCATTTGACCATAGTACATCTTGTTGCGCAGACGCGAGTTGAAGCGCTCTGGATGCGCTTCGCGCGCCTCGTGGAATTCGAGTGCGATGTGTGCATCGACGCCAAAGGAGTAATAGTTATTGATCACATTTAGCGGGACATTGTCCTTGCTGCGGCTGACATTATCGTCTTCCACTTCACGGTTGGGCGTGACATTCAGACGCCAGCGATCCATCAGCACACACTGAGACATGCCGATTTCTCGTAATATCTTACTGACCGGCTCATCGGTGTAGCCCTACGGGAGAGTAATTTGAAGCATATGTTTAAACATACAATACGCGCCAATTAGCGGTATACTTACACCACCCCAACCGAGAGCGCGAGCGAGATCATTGCCAGTACCTAAGGGCAGCACACCCACAGCTGGCGGCGGTGTTATGGGTGGATTCAACATGTCCAGCACAGATAATACCCAACCTACGGTGCCGTCACCGCCACACGCTAAAACGCGCAAGTTAGGCGCTTTACGGAATAGCTCCAAACTACGATTGAACGAAGCAGAAATAAATAATCAACAACTGATTATGGCCGCAGATCGCCGTGTACTTACCCCATCTTTGGACCGCCTTGCGTTAAATCGAAAACTTGTCGAGGGTTCAGAAGATGTTGGAATTTACCCAACAGCTTGACACCTTGATTGCCGCCCGATTTAGGATTGATGAACACAATCACGGGTATTACGTCGGGCGATGGTATCGGCTTCACGATGAAAGCGCGTGGCTCTTTCTTCTCTTCCTTTTGCTTTTGCCGTTTACTCGCCCCCTTCTTCTTACTGCTGGTTATGGTCACATTGGTCTTGTTGTTCACTCGTATGGAGGATTTAAAATTACCTTTAGTGGGTAACTTGACGATCCAAGACGGTGGCACGATAATTGGCGCATAATTGCCTGTAATATATAAAGGGTGTTTTTGGTAATCAATTTACGACAAATTGATAATGAGGATTGTGCACGGATTCTAAAATATTTTCGGAAGATAAAGTCAGTAGATTTTAGTACTAATTTTTTGTATCACTCTTTATTTGGTTCTTACGCTGGCAATATAAATGTATAGCAGGTATGCTTTGGACCCAGTGAAAATTAGAGCAAGAAGTGTTAAATGTTCAAACCCTCTTGTTCAGTCCAAAGAAAAAGTACAGACTTGATGCCTTCAAATTAAGGACGAGAAATGACGAAGCATTTTTTCCCCCAGTCCCGAGTTTGCCAGTATTCTGCTTGGGCGAGCTGAGGGCTGAGTGAGCTGAATTATCCAATTTCCCAAGAAAAGCTAACAATTGCATTGTGTGCATGTGGTAATAAGATTTTCACACTGCAAAGTAATAAAGCTGAGTATTTTACAAATCGTAAATGCAATCAAAAAAATCCGCAAAGACTTTAGTAATCCCCCTCATCGCCGCTCTCAATGCTTTGCCGCACCTGCTGCGGCAGACAAGCTCATTGCTAATTTCGAGCAGATTTGCTTGCTGATGACACCGAGTGTAATGGAAGTTGGAGGACATACATATATACGATACATGTATGTTGCATGTGCACACATACCCGATAGTACCTCTTAGCTCTTAGTATACACAGACGCATCCAATTTTGCCCGCTCTTCAGATTTCTGGTGCGGCCACTGCAAAGCCTTGGTTTTGGCACTGCTGCGTTCTCGAACGTGTTGAGCGGACGCATTTACGGCTACCAATGCTTGAGCTTGAAGGAACGGTTATTATACGATAAACGACATAGCTGCTTAGTTGTCGAACGAGTGCGGTGGTGGTTAGCAGGGCAACGAATACTGCGAACCGAAGATCGTGGGCCCAACCAACAATAGCATCGATTGTATTGAATTATCAATCCCAACAGGGGGAAATATGAAAATGGCTTGCATCAGTGGTTTGGTTTAAGTGATACACATAATTGGTCTGAGAAATTTACTGTTGTGTATCTAAATTTGCAGCATTTGGTGCCATTGCTTTGACCTGCATATTAATTTCAAGAGATGCTTTCATTTGAATCGCCATAGCAAAGCTCTGCGTAGCAATTCGGGTGGTCCTTGTACTTTGCACTTGATTAAACATCGACGGAAGGAGTTCAGTTTGCTCTTATCTGCATATTCCATTTCAATTCGACAATGTTATTGATTACCTTGCGGCTTTTGGAGAAACGTCGGAATTCAACTATCCTAACGAAACAATATTTGTTAAATTGATAAATAAAATGGACTTAGGGGAGCTTCCCAAGCAGCCATATTCAAATATATATATAATATATCTGTGGGTGTGTTAAATAATATCGATAAAATATTTGTAAATTGCCGATGGATGGCTGTAGTATTAGCACTTCGACCTGCAGCTGAACTTTAATTGGCTCGCCATGGCGTATGAGCAACATCTGCTGTTTGCCTCAAATTGCCATTGCACTCAACTTCTATCACGCATTACTGATGAAGCGCATTAACTTAATTATAGTGTAATAGATAAAGTGATGAATGTGGGTAACATTTCACAATTAAAGTAATCTGTAGTAAACTGACTTTTGTTTAGAGTGACTCAAACTATAAATAATTCTTTCAGCGAATAATTTTTATGGGTGGCATAAAATTAAATTGTATGTATATTACTCTGTTTTGAATAAACTATTTCCAAGAAGTTGAGTTATTATATAGTTTAGCTCATTAATGATCTGCAATTGTTATACATAGATTCTTGCTGACTGCGAAGAAAGCTCTAACTAACGGCTTAGTTAATTATCTGTGCATTTGTTTGAAACCATTGAACAATTGAAAATAATGGCAAAGATATATACGTTCACCGCTATTGAATAGAGAAGTTGCCTCACTAAGTCTCAGTGCTGATTGAGTGAGGACTGAGATGGAAGATTTTCAGATAATTTCATTTTACATATCCACATATCTACATACACACATTGTATGCACACATTGTTTTTTTTAGACCAATTGCGTTGCAGCACTTGCAACACAATGCACGCTTTTGTAGCAAAGTTTAAGTTTCAACAAGATTGTCTTTCTTCAGTCTTACATATAACGTATATATGTATATGTACATACATAGACGTGCACGCACACACGCATTCGTTGATGTTTTGCCACCACGGCAGCGTGCGTGGCGTCGGATTTGTGCAATTAAATGAAATTTTTAAGTGGCCCACAAGCACGGCAGCACTACATTAAGTGCAACACTCGACAATATTTTGCCGCACGTTCATATTTACTCAAACACTTCCTGGAAAAGTGCCATAAACGTTTGAAAGTGACGGAGCATAGATTTAGCTGAAACACACTTCGATATCTTGGAAATTTATTTAATGTATTTTTAATGCAAAATTGATTCAGAAATGAATTCTTATCAACTGAAATTATAAGCAATGATTTGTTTCATGCAAAACACCACGAGTACATATTGCCACATTGTTTGGTGCTATTCCTGGTACTTCAATTTGGCTTTTTATTTTTTTATTTCTATGATTTTTAAAACTTACCCAAGGTGCACTCTTCCCCAATTTTGGCTTGATTAAAGCAGGACTCCTTGTTGTGATAGACCTCGTGACACCAGGCGCAGGACAGTGCCACTATCTCTTTGGAACCAAACAGTTTACCCTGGACAGCCTGCAAAAGCAATAATAAATATGTTGAATTAAAAATCAGATTGCGTAAAGAAATCATGAGTAGTCAAGCCTTTCAGAATCCTGCTATAAGTAGTGCCTGTAGCTACTATTTTGTTTTGTATTACTTAATAGTTTTTAAATACTGGAGTTATTATGGATTTATTTCTTTGGAAACAATAAAATTTGCTCATTTATAATAGAAGAGAAGGTGAGACCTACAATGCCATAAACTTCTAGCTTACTATCTTGCAGATTTTTATGGTCGCATGGCGTGGTTTTTCGTGCTATTTTTGTATGAAACCATTCAATATAATGAAATTAAGACGCGTCGTAAAATTCACAACTATGTAGTCCAAATGAAAATCACGTTTCTCTGCAGCACAACTACACATACTTAAAGCTTAAATTAAAGGAAAAATTAGAGAACAGTGCTTTTTTCTATTTGTGACGATTTTTTTCTTAAATTATAATATTTATGAGAAATATTGGGTGGTCGAAAAAGTCTTTTCGTATTTCTAATCAATATTTAACCTTTTATTATAATTATATATAAATAAACGAATATGTACCAATTTGGTCGACCACTTTTTGCCGTTTTTCCGCTAGAGATATTATTCCATTTTTTTTTTACTCATTTTTGAATAGCTGTAACTTTTTTCAACTTCCCCGAAATTAATTTCTTTTTAAATGAAGCTTAAAATATCGCCTTTGTAACACTATATGTTGTGACACAATGTGATTGGTAAGACTGGAGATATACGACTGCAACGACATCTATTGACAAAATACGAAAAGACTTTTTCGACTACCCAATATAAAATTTTGTTTTTTAAATAATCAAACTTTAACCGAAAATATTTTTAAATGGTCAGGTTTACGAAAATCGTTATAAACCTGCTTTGAAGAGCATTATTCCCTACAAAACCTATGAAACGAAATATTTTTCAAGTAGTTGGACACGAGATGCGAATTTTTTTATCTGATAATAAGAAAAAACACCTGCAAGAAGTAGGACCTTCTTGTTACAATTAAGAGCTCCTACTTCGAACCTATTTGCAGAGAATTACGCGATTTTTTTTTTTTTAATTTACCCTAACATGTGAAATACTGTGCCCAAAAAATAAGGTGACATTGTATTTATTTTGAAAATTCTTTATTTATTCTTCCAAATCAATTTCATCCCCTTCAAAGTAATCCCCACTAGATGTATTACATTATGCCAACGGATTTTCCAACCTTCGAAACAGTGGTTCTAGTGTCACTTTCCGGGATGGCCTTCAGTTCCGTCTTCGCTGCGGCTCCCCGGAGCGGTCTTTTGAGCTTGGTGAACAGATAGAAGTCGCACGGCGCCTGATCAGGTGGATACGGTGGTTGCGGAACGATATGGGTCGASCTTTTGGCGAAATGATCATTTAATGCAAATTCTTTGCACAACAAATTTCGACATCGCAAAAAACGAAAAACTCACTTTTAGCAGCTCACAAAATGACACGTACCTCAAACACTAATGAATATTTTGACATGAAATTTGACATAAATGTGACTGACAGTACTACCGACCTAAAAAAAAAACAATCTCCAAATCTTTCGACGCGCGCAGTTTAAATTAAAATTTTACCTTTTTGGGCACAGTAATGAAGTGTATGCAGATATATTATTACAAAATTCAAAGGTAAAAATTAAATATTTGAAAATTCTGAAACCACAACGCCGCATAAGCTTTACACATTTCTTGCCACAAATAATTTCCTCGAATACTATTGTGCTACATACAAGTATATCGTAAGTAAGTATGTATGTATGTTTTTATTTTCCTAACCGCAGTTAGCCGTTAGCTATTGGCGTTAGCCTCTTATTCCCTGTGGCATTCTTCTTCTTGTTCCAACTGCTACCGTGTAAGTTGCTTCACGTCTCCCCAGGATTTCTGTACTATGCCGTAAGTTGCCCTAGTTGTTTTTGTTGCTGCTACCGGACATGTTTAATCGGCACTATGGTACAAAAGGTCGGACAGCATGGACGTGCCAGCTTTTCCAATACACCGAGTTATGCGCTATATCCCTCGACGCTCTGGTTGCATGTATATTGTAAAGCTGCTGTTGTTGTTGCTCTTATCTTAAATTTTGACTACCTGCTGTGCATTATTATTCAATATGCTATTTATGATGGTATCGATGCCATTAATGGGGCGTTTATTATGAAATTCCATGCAATCCGGCGTACGTGCAGAGAAGCCATGGACAAGGAGCAAGGAGCTTTTCGCAAGGCGAGAGATATGTGGATATCTATCCAAGTTGTAGTAATAAGTAGTAATAAATATACTCAGCTCTTGGTTTGCTAATGCTAGTGGAATATTGAAAAGTCCTTAAAATTAGCTAGATATTATTAAATGCCCTGCATGGCCGAGACATGTTGCCGCATTAAAGAGAAGCTGTGTCGGAATTAATTTGCCATTTTAAATTAATTATTTTGCTTAAAAGCTTTTGAGCTCGCTACTTGTAAATATTTCATATGTTTATATACTCAAATATGGTTTGTTGTTAAGTGTGTGTGTTTGTGAATTTAATTAAAGTAGACTTACCTTACCGCACTGCTTGCACTTGCCCTTCTCCATTTTGCGATGCACCCAGTGATGGTGCGTCGTGGACTGCTCCCGGTATTGTCTTACGCCCACGTCCCGAAATGTTGGCTTACACGCTAATTGAGTCTTTTCATTGACGATTGGAATGCAATTTTGATGCGCAATTAATTGGCAAGCAGAGCACTTCATGCGTTGACCACTTTTCTGTCATTCAAAAAGGCAAACGAATTAATAATTATAATAATATTAAATGAATACTATAAATTAAATGACACGCTTTAATGTTGATGCATAAAATACACATCACACACAGATCTAGTGTTGATACATAAAACACAGGGCAATGCACAAATGAGTGTGTGCATTTGTGTTGGTAAATAAGTGAATGTGAAAGGTTTTAAAATCGATGAGTTGATTTTTGACCGCGAAAAGTTACATAAAGTTACATTACACGATAATTAGCTTAAAGCTACTTTATGGTGTTTTAATTCTTTAATACAGGCTTATTATATATGCATAAGTGTATTTAAGTGGTGGTATGATAACGAATGGCAATGTGTAATGATAATATTTATCATGACCATTTGAGCATATTTAACATTTTAATTTACCAAAAAAAAAAAAATAAAAACGAATTTAGTTTGAAAAATAAATAAATTTATCATGTATAAGGAAGATTAAATCGAAAGCTGGCAAGCTAAAAAAATTTATTTAATATGTATCTCTTTTTAAATTGAAATGATTAAAACAAAGTCCGCACGTTTAGCAACTTGAAGTTGAAGTTTGTATGCTTTCTGCACAGAAGAAAAACTTTTCTTAAATGTACCTGTTTGAAGCGAATTATTCAATGCCTAACTATTGGACGTCGTTAATGTGCTGAACACATAAAAAGCGACAGACTTCAAGCAAATATTGAAGTACACACGTTCTTATGGACACAGTTATGTAGTCTTGCAGCTATCTAAATAACTGTGTCTTTAAGAACGTGTGTATTTTAATTTGACAGATGTCGCTTGAAGTCTGTCGCTCTAAAGTCTGAATACCTCAAAGCTTTTGGGTAGAATTCAATTAAAATGTAGCAGCTCAGTTCAATGAGTTTACATTTTAAAGCGTTTTTCTGAAAACGCCTGAAAGATTATTCGCTGGTTCGAGTTTCGGGTAAAATTATAGAATTTTTTTTACCATAGAACAATATTTTCAAATATAGAAATTGTTTAAGTACGTAGAAGGCCGGAATCACTTCAGCAGTGTAAAATCATTCTTTTCGGTGCCGTCGGAATTTGCGCATAATTCGAAAAATATTAAATGTTTTTCTAAAACTTTTTACTGCGTTTCGCAATAATTTTCATAAACATACCATTAAAATGTTAAAACAATTGAGAAAGTAGTTTTCTTCTTAAGTCCAAAATCGTTCATCGGACCACTCTTTCAGTGAGAAGAAGAGATACTCAAGTGTGCAAAATTTCTTTCATCAGTTTTTTCTCTTTATACACATAGCTTTTAAGATAACTTTTATAAAATCTTTGCTATTTATTGGATAGTTCTAAGATATTCAACGAACTTTCTTTTACTTTTTGATTTGTTTGTTGTGATAATTGAAATACTTCACGCGGTAATTACTGTGTTTTTGCGGAAAACCATTCGTCTTACTCTTACTAAACGTATTTATGAATATGTTCTGCGCTTTATAAAATATTCGTGGAAAATCACTTCCAAGAAAATAAGTTAGCTTAAGATTGAATAAATGGCCACTTTCTTAAACTGTATACATTAGATGGGTATGTATGTATAACTATTTACTTGTCCTCCTGCAGATTAAAAATAATTTATAATCATGAAATTTATATGTTTTTAAGTGCAGTAAATGCATTTTTCAAAACTTTATATTTCGATTAGCTTTCTCTTGAAGAGATGCACAAGAAAAATATTCAATTTAAGGATCGTCTCGATTTTTTGTATTATCGCATAATATACACTGTAATAAACATTCTCTCAACTTTTGAAATCGAAATTCAAATGATTACGATAGCTACAGCATTTCTTGTAGAAAGGGAACGGAGCTAGACAATCTTTAAACGCGTTTATCTCAGAATAGTGTTCTTCAAAGCGGTTTCCACTCTCAAAGGAAGAGTTTTGAAGATTTCTAGTTCCAAAAGGGAGAGAACATTTTTAACGTCATTCTATATCGGGCTATGGAAGCTTTTTTTTATTCTTCCTATTTTGTCTATTTTCAAAACATAGCGGAATAGCGCTTTTCCTATAGATTAATAATCCTCTTGAAATTTTTGTTTTTGATCAAAATTACATTACAACAATTTATTTTACTATTATTCACCCAACAAATAAACATTAAAAAATCAGTTTGTATTCGTCATGAATGTATTTTTTTATAAAAAGACCCGACCGATTAGTTAATTTCAATTTCGATGCCATAACCAAAGTTTACAAAGTCATCAAATTCATTCTCTTGAAACTTTAACGCTGCCAATAAGATAGTAATTTTCTTTTAAGTTCTACAAAAGCTACAGATTTATATAGCGGAACGGGTTGTATTTCTTTTAAAATAATAAAGAAAATATGATTTATAATGATTTGTTTTCTTTGACTTGTGAAATTCATTAGAGATAACGTTGCCTTAAAATATTCAAATTTAATCCATAATGTCTATTTAACGGTTAGGTTTACAAAAAAGTTTAAATAGATCTTTTTAGAACAATGAAGTTCCTATAAAGCCCACAAAATTAAATATTTTTATTAGTTTGAAGCAAGGTTTGAATTTCCATCTGATAATAAGAAAAATAATATACAACTGCAAGGCGGAGGACCTTCCCATTACAATTAAGAGCTCATACTTGGAGAGATTTTCTAAGAATGTATTTTTCAGTACTACCACCCTAATATACATACCTAAATTTTTACCTTACCTAAAGGATGTGAACACACTACATTACACTCATTTTAAACGGGTTAATAGTAACTACTCCGGTATCTTATACTTTTGCCACTTAAAATATTACTGTAATAAAATTACAAGTATGTGTCTGCTCAAATATGCAATTCCATGGAGATATGTATGTATGTGTGAATGTGGATTTACATGTATGTATGCCTTATTTTCGTGCGTGAGCAAACTTGCCGAATGAGAATAGAATTTGTTGCAATAATGATAATTATGAGTATAGGCGATGCGAAGTGAAAAGAGAGAATGTGTGTATTCATTGATAATAGCATTTAGCATGTGTGCTGGCACACATACATACCAAAATGCTGAAAATATCCTAATGTATGCCAGAAGTCTCACGCACACACATTTTGGCGAAAGTTTCGCATATTCCGCAAGTGGAAGGCTGCCAGTATGCATGTGCACGTGTGTGCGCGATATCGTAATGCGCGTTAAGCATGCAATAAATGAATTACTCGCAACAATTTTGTAATTGATTTAAAGTGTTTTGCGCCTGCGTGGGAATTCGCGCTCAACAAGCATTTCAATTAATTAAATTTAACGCTCTCAGCCCAATTAGCGCTGCTGTCGGCAAATTGCGTTGCTTATTTTTAAAATGGTCACATAATTAGTTACTGCAGTGCGCCATAAATAACGAGTACTCCAAATTAAGGGAGAGCGGAGCGGTATGTAATTAATTTTAATACAATTAAACTATCATTTATGCTTTATTTAAAAGTGCATAATAATTGAAATACTCGTGTCCTTGTATGCGTATGTGTGTGTGTTGAAATACTCACAATGCACTCCTCGTTCAAGCAGCAAAGATCGCCGGACGCCGACGTGGGCTTCCAGAAGTGTTCTCCCTGTACCGCGTTCTCGGTCCAGTCGGGCACAATCCGAATCGGCCGTCGGGCATTACTCGCCGACGCAGAACGTCTGCAATGGGAAAGAAAGAAAAAAAGAAAATATTTTAATAATTGCATGCTTAGCTACATACATTGTGAATACTTGAAACACCCAAAAATAGTTCGACAAGAATGTTGCAAGACTTCGCTTTTATGTGGCATTTCAGCCTTAAAATTGGCTGATTCCCGCAAATAAGCATTTAAATAAAAGTTCTGGAAATTTTCCCAAAATATTACGTGTTTATCCGTATTCATATCAATGCGCATGTGTGTGTGGCGATAGAGCGCCAGTAAATAGGCAATTAAGTTCAAATGTTGCATCGTTTGCTTTCTGCAAGGGTTATCAAATGCAAATTTGAACTTTCGGGAGAGACGCTTTTAAAGTTTTCTAAAACTATTGGGAATAGAAATTTTGAAAAAATATAAAATTTGAGTTAATAGTCAAAAATTTTATTTTCGAGTTATGAAGATCTTGCAGTAGGCAAACATATACCGTCAACCAAGATATTACACAAATGGAGTAAAGTATATACTGTAATCACAGTGAATATAGAACAAACGTCGGAAGGCCCGATTAAAACCGCTAATAATAAGTATTTTATTTTTAAACAATTTTTTATTGCCTTCATTACTTCAAGATACACCAATTTGATGTTGAAAACTAACTACAACAATATTTTAGACCGTGCGATGCCTACAAAAAGAATGATGGGTAGTCGAAAAAGTCTTTTCGTATTTTGGCAACAGATGTCATTGCAGTCATATTGTCGTTCTTCTCTAGTACTATCAATCACATTGTGTAATACTATAAAGTGTTGGAAAGCTGAGATTTTAAGCTTCATTTAACGAAAAAAAAAATTGTTGAAAAAAGTTACAGCTGTTCAAAAATGAATGAAAATAATGAAAAAATTCGTTACATTTTGAAACTTTTGTATAAAAAGCGTAAAAATGCCACACTAACCACCAAAGAAATTTGTGAAGTTTACGAAGATGACGGTGTATCAGCTCGTGTAGCACAACAATGGTTCGCTCACTTCCGTCCTGGAAATTTCGATTTACAGTGATGGAATAAGGTTTCCAGCAGAAAAATTGGAAAAAGTGAACGACCAAAATGGTACATATTTGTTTATTTACTTATTATTATAAATAAAAATAAAAAATAAGTTGAAGTTTGATTAGAAATGCGAAGAGTCCTTTTCGACTACACAATATTAATGGTTAAAACAGTTGAAACACCAGTTCTTTGCATTGTCAAAAAATCCGAGGTGTTCGTCGTATTAAAAGCCGTTACTATTTCTAAATCAATACAAATTTATACGCCATAGCCTATATAGCTTTACCATAATTGCATCGCTATATATTACTTTCCGTACAACAATGAAAAAACAAAAAGCGCATCGCTTATGCCCGCTGGACGACATTTTGTCGTTTATGAAGGCAAAGTGAAAATTAAAAGTTGCACAAAAGGTAAATAATAAACAGAAAACACAATAATGCGAGCATTGCCATGGCAGAGCCGTTGAAATGTGAAGCGAAACATGAGCCAATTTCATAGAAGGCACGCAAATGGGACACTTGGATGGACAGTTGGACAACCGAACAACTGCATACTGGGCAAAGGGGTAAACCGGACAGTCGGCGAAAGCAGTTGCCTGTCAGCGGAGTGCTTTTGATGTATATGTAAATACACACACACTAGTATAATAAATGTGTGTTGGCCATGCAACCAGTAGCCTTGCGCTCTGCCATTACTGTGAATGTGTCAGTGGATGACCACCCTGGTCCGTCACTCCGTCAATCCGTCATTGTTGGTTTGTGTGCTCGCTTGTTATTGTTGATGTTGCCAGTTATCGTCACCAGCACCGGCAATGGCAGCAGTAAACGCATTGCTAATGTCTTTCCGCTGCCAGCGCGTGTTTGTATGTGTTTGCCTGTATACGTGTGTGTGTGTCGTTTTTGTTTAGCAAAATATAGCTCTGCAATATTGCTATTTGACAGAAACGGTTTCCACTTGTGTTCTCGTCGACATTTTTTATTCGCCTTTGTGCACTTTTTTGCGTGTGCATGAAAATACAGGAGCGTTTGTGTTGCCGTGCAGCTCAGCAACAACAAGTTGACAGGCATTTCTTCATGGGATTTGCATAAATTTGACACTTTTTTCTCATTCACGTTGAGTAAAATTGATTGGGGGAGTAGGGTGTTGGATTAGTTATGTTTTCAGTGCTTTGCCTTCTTTCTTAGTTTTTCTGTGAATGAGAGCGCAAAATAAACAGTAGTAATAAACTTGTTTTGTTCTTTAGTAATCGCACTCTCCTCCAGAAGGAACTTTCTTTTTCTTTCTGAATCTTTTTGTAACAAGTTCTTGCGTCACTATCGAAATTTGTCTTAGTTAGTCTTTCATAATCGATATTAGAGATATTAAAGATATGAGCCAACATATATCGGGTGATTTTTTTGAGGTTAGGATTTTCATGCATTAGTATTTGACAGATCACGTGGGATATCAGACATGGTGTCAAAGAGAAAGATGCTCAGTAT